TCGACACATTGACAGTTTCGAACCCTTTCTTTCCTGTCTTTTGGTCCAAATAGCTTTTGAATCCTCAACCACAAAGGTGTTGTTGACAACAGCGTTGACACTTAATGAATACCCGTGATATCTTTATTGCCTTTCTATCTAGTACACAATATATTACTATTATTGTGTGTCTGGTTCAGTTGTATGCAAGATTTATAAACCCCACTCTCTGATTGATTCACTTCCGTGACAGGGTATCCCAATGGTTAAAGCAGTCGACTTCTAACCATTAGACTGCAAAACTCAAACATATAATATCTTTTCAGTCTACGTGTCCGAGTCTCACATCTTTTTCAAACAGTGTATCTCATTGTTTAAATAGGACGAGGAAAACGGTCCTAATCAATGAAAGCCGTTTGCAGCTGATGAGAAACTTCGGAATATAATGAATTCATATTAGTCAGAAGATCTAATCCTCCTCATATTGTTATCATTCAATATTTTATCTGTCATTCATGAAATATAACAGGTCAATAAGGTTGTTATTGTTACACACAACATGCTTTATTTGTTTGCCATTAATTAGAATGATATCGTACCACAAAGTTTATGTTAAATATAAAAATGGTAGTTTTAGAATACTCAAAACAAACAAATAAATAGTAGTGATTTTTTTATGCCACTTTGTTGACTTCAACATGAATGACCGATGATAATGCCAGTAAGAAAAATTGATTTTTTAACTTTGTATATTTTCTGTTGAATAATCAGGTTAACATAACATAGAAACAAAACGTTGAATACAAGTTGGACTTAAGACATGTATATTTCAAGACATTTGTGTGAACAGGCGAACTGAATGAGTGAACATTGAAACTGAATAAATGCAAACAAGTTATGCTGTAAATAACTACCTAGTGAGTAATGGGTGATTCGGTCTACATATAAAGTGATTAATGTATATATTATAGGTAACCAATTGTAATACAGATGTCAGACATATAACACAAATAGCACTAAAATATTTTCAAAGTTAGTAATGAATCATAAACACGAGTATATATCTGAAGTTAGGAAAGGAATAATATAAGCAAAAGTAAATAGACATAAATGCATACAATCTAATCAATTATCTTAAACATACAAAAGTTAGAAAAATGGCCAAACAACAGTCTGTATCAGCATATCACAATGATCCACCATGCGATTAGGTGTTTATGACTAAAGTGATCAAGGATCATGATAAGTTACTACAGATTATGACCAATTTATTCGTCTTACGTTCTACAAGTTTTCAGAATTCAATGCAACAGAGTATAATGATAAGACGAGATGAAAACTAAATCATATTTTTATTTTGGTATGACCTTTATTCAGCATTGTTTCTGTTTTTAACTTATTGCAATAACTCCTTAGAAGAATATTAGTTTATTTTCAGTGAGGTAGTTTTTGCATGTTTAAACGGATCTCAGAAAGCGCAATGAAGCCTCCTGATGCTCTAGGGTAGCCAAGGATATTCCATCCAATCACAGTCTGATAGAATTTTCTGGAATTTCAACGTGGCCTGCTGTGATCGGACAGTCGTATAAACTTCCTGCTTGAAGAGTGGCTGGATTTTAATGATGTTACAGCCCATACACCTGTACATTATGACGCTTAATGTAGTATACGTTCCCCGCCGTTCGATTTGGGACTTGGGGGGTTCTATGTATTTACGTGCGGTAGTCGTATACCGTATTAGCCGTAATCAAGTAGAGAACCTAACAGTGCAGGATAATAGTAATTTCAGTATACCACTTGTTCAGTATAATAATGTCTGTACTAATTTGATGCAAACTTTATTAAACATGATACGCGACATGTGTTTTTATTGAAACTCTGTGCATCTCTTTTATATACGATATTCATAAAATAATCGTTATCAAGTGCGAAAACTACAGATGAGTGAATTTCTGAAAGTGGTTCAAGTATTTTCGGGGTGAATAAATCTTCTGTGGGCAATTTCCGTGTCCTTATTTTCATCGTAGAAATTGCAGTGATTCCCGGCTGCAAGTACTCCAGGAGTACTGCAGTTACAACATATGCATAGGGTACATTTACATCTTCATTATACTTAAAAGAACTACACTTTGTACCCTATCAGTCTATTCTAAGATCAAAATCTTATTGGTTTCAAGTCCCAGAACTAGAGGGAGATTAGAATTCTCGATGTAACTCAATAATCGAACTGCAGTTTGTGTACTAGGCTTTAAGTTACATCATGTGATGGCTGATGGCACTGTCCGATAACTCAAACATAAGTAAATGGATATAGTCCCGATTGTTAGATCAAATTTACATATTACTGAGGTGCTCATTTATATTCAGGTAAATTTGGATCTTAATTTAAGTGGAATCTAATCTTATTTCAATGAAGTGGTATTATGTGGGACATCCAAATCCCAAGTTTAAATGTGCTATCTAACAGTTGAATATCTTGTTCTATAAAAATTAAGTTGCCACTCCAAAGAGAGAATATGTTGTTTGATTCCCTGTTATATATAAAAAGTAGGAAATTCTACTTCAGTGACCCGTTGGTTTGACTCTAGTTTAGAAGAACAAATGAGTATTCCATGAACATAATTTTTCCCGTTTAGTTCTGTATACTACACCTAAACTAACACCGTTCACAATGGAACAGGAGTCAAACAAACTATCATTCTGGGATATATTAATCACTAGAACCGACATAGGAAAACTGGAAACTCAAGTGAATAGGAAACCGACCCATACATATCAAATTCTCAACTATAATAGCAACAACCCAAGAGCTCACAAAATCAACTGTGCACACTTTGTTCAAAAGGGCGAGGACACACTGCAGCATACTGGCAGCACGAAAAAGTGAAGAGAAATACCTGAAAGACGTATTTCAAAAGAACGGCTACCCGATCAACTTCATCAAAAAACACCAACCGTACGCAGCATCAGAACCCAAGTCAAGTACAGAAATCAACAAAAGGATCGCCCTACCGTACATAAAAGGCATATCAGAAACCGCAACGAGACTGCTGAAAACCTTCGGGATAGGTGTGGCACACAAACCGACAAAATCAATACAATCAATCTTATGCAAACCAAAGGATGAAATAACAAAGGAAGACAAATCAAACATCATCTACAAAATAAATTGTGCCAACTGTGAAAAACACTACATCGGACAAAGCGGACGCCCCCTTCACCTTCATGAACATCAATTAGCAGTCAAAAGCCATGATACTTCTTCACTTATATCAATACACGTGGACAACTGCAAACACTCATTCGATTGGGAAAATATGGAAATATTGGACAGGGGAAATTCCCAAAACACTAGAGAATTTTTAGAAGCCTGGTACTCAGGTCAATCAGCAATCAACAAGCACATTGAAATCGATCCAATTTACCAACCAATCAGGAATGTTATACACAAATCTAGGAACATAAACAAACCAATAGGAGACAACCAAAACAAAGTAAACAGTGACAAATTCAAGGTCAATAAGAACTAATCAACATCGAGGTGTACAGAACAAGCCGTGAAATGCGTATGGGGGAATTCGAACACTTCGCTTCTATCTGAAGTTTGTGCTGATGTTGTTCAGAAGAGCGATGAAAGCTCCACGACCAAACCATCCAGCTCAGAGAACGAAACTCCATCAAAATGACTAGTGAGTCGCTACATTGACAGAGCACACATACTTGTAAATAGTTATCTAGACATCATAGTGTCTACACCATAAATTCAAGAAATTTCACTGTGCCCTATAGATTATGAGATCAATACATATTACGGGTGATGTTAATCTTTATTTCTGTATGGTCCTGTGTAGTGAGTCTCAGTTAAATACGTAGTTCAAATGCAACATCTCAATAACAAACAGTAATGAACAAACTTATGTTTCACTAACCTCACTGCTTATATTAATTGTACATAACCGACGAGATTTCCTCGAGTATTGTTAGGAACTCGTTATAGAACCCAGCTACTCATATTGCTTATTCTTCGGATACCTTACTCCACTCGACTAGTTCTCAAATCAGAACATGGTTGAACAGAAACGTAATTATATTCCAAATAAACAAGATTGGATGGGATTAACAGGTACAATAAGAAAAATGTCAGTATACTTATAATTTCACATGAGAAGGTTCTTAAGTCTTCTCGAATTATTCGCCAGCGCTGATAGGCTAAGAATGAACCAGTTAACGTGTCCTAGCGTCATCCTGCATGTAACATGCAATAATCCAATACATCGCTTGCTAACGAGTATGAACTATCAATTTCTATATTTCACTAGTTTGTTGTACCTTGGTGACGAACATTACAAAACTTAATTAAAATATGAACCGCAGGTTAGGAATCAGTTACTCATAATCAATTTAGAACCTCTCACAAATGTGCTTAATCTCAAGTTGACGCACTACGATAGCACAGAGATAATACTAGTAAGATGAATAACAAAGGAGTGTAAATAAGAATAGTATCAATAATAGGAAACAAATAAATATATATAGATTTCCTAGGAAATCTTAGATTGCACTGAACAGCTTGAGAGAATGAATGGATATACACTAATGTTACTAATCCTAAGCCCTGTCATCCAAGATCACGATTATCACGCAAACCCAAATTAAGTAGTCTGCATATACCACCATGACTTAAATTAGTGGGAAGTAGTTTCAAAAACTAGTGAATTGTTTTAGCTTCTTCACCCCTAGCTCCCTTTTAACCTACCTCAACATAGATCAGTACTGCGAATTGGAGCAGGTAGGTAATGATTAGAAAGATTTGTGGTAAACTTAACAGAAATGTACCGCTTCTAACTACAACAGCAATAATATACAGTTAAACGAATAGATTACTTTTTGAATGTGATCTCATTTATGTAGTATATTTCATGTGAGAAAAGAGAAACTCAAAATTTCATCAGTACTTTTTATTTAGTAAACACACATATAAAGAGCATTCAATAATGTTCACCAAAAGAGTCATTGTTAATTTATTTTGGAGGAGCATCTCCACCACCAAAAATGGCGGACCAGCCTTGCAGAGGCCATTTTATGTGCTTGTCAGAATTCAGGTAGTTCTTGATTGGTGGTAAATTCTAGTTTTAAGAACAAAAAAATAATTAAATGAGAATTCATCAGGTTAAACGAGAGCCAAGTACATATTATTACGAACTTACTTCTATGCGCTGTTTGAAACTAATTAGTTTTGGAAATGCATCCAAGCACTTTGGGTCCATGTATAAAACTACATCAATAGCGTCGTACAGCATGAAGTCAACATGAGTCACCTATAAAGACAAACGAGTTATAAAAAAGTTGAAGTGGTTATACTAGTTTTCTAGAGCTGAACTTAAACTAATAGACATGATGACAATTTTTATATTTCTGATATTTGATCAAACACATATGGAAAATTAGAATTGCAATTTTTAAGAGATTTATGAAATAAAATTGTACGTATTAATGCCAAGGTTGGACTTGATAGTCTTACATAAATTGAGCATTGGGTAGAAAATCATATTTCTAACGTCTCGTGACTTAATGTAAGCCACTTATTCGAAGTAAATAAATAACTGAATTAAATTAATACAAGTTTAAATAGTATAAATGAAACAATGAAATTATGTTTATAGACTTCATATTAGGCTAGCACATAACTATTTACGGATAGGACCTTATAGAAGTTTGATTGTTATTGCATCTAAAAGCATTGTTTTTGCCTGACAAGAATTTAATAATGTGCTTTCTATATTAGATAGATACAGTTAAATCAAGAAATTACAAGCTAAATGGATAAAATCTGGTAACTTACATTATCGCCATTCAAATATATTTTGTGAGATAAACGATTTTCAAACATTTTCAGCATTCCAGGGAGTTGGTTGAGAAAACCAACTTTGAGAGTTTCCTTGAAATAAATGAATTTTAAGTCTATCTTACAAATTCTTTATTATATGCAATTTTTGAAACACCAAGTCTGATATCCAAAATGGCTCCCTCAAGCATAGAAATTTCTGCACGTTCTTTGGGACAACCACCCACTATGAATATAGATTATGGTATTTTAATTTACACATATTGTGTTTATCAGCTATATAACGTAAAATAGCCATAGACTGTGTTAATTTAACATCACCATCAATATAATAAGGTAGCTAAATTAGTAAACTATCATAGCAAAATAGTTGTTTTACATTAGGAAATTCCAGACCCAAATTGAACTTTTCGTTTCGCCAGACATCACCATCATTGCGATCATACAAACGCTCTTCATATACTTCGCCAACATATTCCAAAAGAAGACGAGTCGGTTGTACAAGCTAAACGACAAAATCAGGTTTTAAAATTGTACAGAAATTCATACAACGCAGTAGACAATAATTATCATCTGCCGAAATCATAATCTAATTAAATGATAACACGAAAATTACAAAAATTAATTGAGTAAGCCGATGAATTTCTAAGTGAAGTCACGAGTTCACATGTTTCGAAAAGTCCATTCTATAAACGGTGCATAAAAGTGGAGCTTTAGAAACTAAGTGGTTTTATTGTTTTAACTCGAAACTATTTCATTTCTAGAAAAAAATTTCAAAGAACGTTTTTGCCACATCACGATGTATGAATTTACGAAGTAATAGTACTTGTGTCTGTAAGAGTCGAATCTCGGTCCCATTGCTTTAGTAGTACACCTTGACTTAAAATGTGATCGTTTATTATGAGCTGATTTTGTGAATTTCGAACATAAAGTTAGGCATGATACAACACAATGATCGTTTTTATAGGAACCGAGTTTTAAATAAATCGGTAATGATTTTCAGTAAAATGAAATATTAAGGCTTGTGCTTGGAAATTTGGAAAATGCATGTTTTTTTGTAAAGTCTGTATATCGATAAAAATATATGACAACTAGACTACCCTACCCATGAAACGATGGGCACATATTATTTAATATGTTATTGGGGACAAACAAAGATGACTAACCGAATGTACTCAACTCGTAACAGCTTTTATAAGGAAACAGATGTTTATTGGCATCTACCTTTGGATCACTCACACGAGAACCACACTGTCAACGTCACAAGATTTAATTGTGTGTGACCATTGGGTAAAACTATCCCTCCTTAAAAGCATTTTGGACGTCAAATTTGCGGACTTTTACCAAACCCGGATTTTTAATTATAGACTAATAATCAAGATGTCGCTTGGTGAAAACGATGATTGATAACATGGCGAAAATGCATGCTTACTCGTTATTTTAGTACCTAACTCATAATAAGCAGTGATCTCAAAAATACTAGAAACTGTAAGGCTGCTGCTGCAAAAGGTTACAGGGTATTATGGGCTATTCGTATGTTTTTTTCAGTAGTTAGATGAAGAAATGTTTAGATTATTATACCCGACTTTCATGAGACCGCATTTGGAATATGGGATTTAAGCAGAGAATCATTGTTTTAATTATAAGGCGGATATGCTGGAACGAGTTTAACGAAGAGGGACTAAAATGTTGAAAGCTCTCTCTGGCTTATCTTATGAAGACAGACTGAGACACCTCAACTTATTTCCGTTATATTACCGCAGAATACGTGGTGATAGTTGCTTATCATATGCTGAACGATGACTTTGGTATTAATATGCCTTACCTTTTCCATCCGTCTGGGGCTGATCGTTTGAGGGGACATTCGAAGAATGTCCAAAAACCGAGATCAAATCGTCTAGGTCTGGAGTTTTGTTTGTCGCACCGAGTAGTGAATTACCAGGACACGTAATATTAACACTTCCTGTTGATATATTTAAAACGAGACTGGACCTCCAGTATTACAAAAGGTTGGTAGAACTCTTATCCTTATTACCGAAGACTGAATATTAGACTGAGTGGTCACAAACTCAGTTATTTGTCTACCAAGAAGTCACTGATAGACTTCTAAGGATATCTCACATCGATGATTTCTACATACCCATAATTCTTCTTACAATAACTGTTGTCGCACTAAGCGAAATTAGTTAGCTCGAAGAGCATTGATATGAAGCACTATGAGGAGACAGTACTGCCGCATCATTAGTGGAGGACGACTTTGGGAAGGCCCAAGTGTTCTCGAACTACTTTAGCAATGTATATACCATAGAAGCACCCTTCCCGTCAGCGCATACAAATCCCCCCACACATACACTGGAGAGCGTGACCATTAAAGAACTCGATGTCTTTGGTCTGCTAAATAAGCTTGACATAGGTCAATCCACGGGGCCCGATGAATTGAATTTTAGGCTACTGAATGAATTATCTAAGTTCGTTGCGAACCCTTTAAGTATATGCTTTAACTTACCTGTAACGCAGGGTCGTTTACCAAAACACTGGAAGAACGCCATAGTAAGTCCTGTCTTCAAAACAGGTACGAAACATAAACCTGAGAATTACCAACCCGTTAGCCTAACTAGTGTGGTTGTTAAAATCTTAGAAAACATTATTTGGGAGGAGCTGTTTAAGTACCTCGATAAAAACCGGATCTTCTCGGAGAAGCAGCACGGTTTCAGAATAGGTTATTCTTGTCTCACTAACTTGTTAGTGGCTCATGAAAGCTGGTGCGCTCTTAAGGACCAAAAGCTACCTGTAGACGTCGCCTTCATTGATTTCAGTAAAGCTTTTGACAAAATTCCGCACAACCGGCTGTTATATAAGTTAAGAAAAGTCGGGATTGGAGGCAATTTATTGATGTGGATAAAAGACTTCCTAGTTGGGCGTCAACAAAGAGTAAGGGTGAACTCAAAGTTATCTAGCTGGGAAACTGTGCTTAGTGGAGTGCCCCAGGGTACAGTTTTGGGGCCAGTGCTATTCCTCTTGTATGTAAATGACCTTCCTTGTTTCCTATCATCATCGGTCTTGCTATAATATTCTGACGACGTCAAGATATGGAAAACGATACGATGTAAGAGTGATAGCTTAGAACTTCAAAATGACCTGAAGAAATTGTCTGAATGGTCTCAAACATGGCAGTTGCCGATAAATACTTCCAAGTGTGTTGTGATGCATATCGGTCATCAAGGTACAGATACATACACGATGAATAACACTGAGCTACCTGTCGTCCAGACACATAGTGACTTAGGAGCCATCGGTAGTCAAGACTTAAAGACTACTGCACACTGCCGTGCAATAGCCGCCAAAGGTTTTAGAACCTTATGGTCAATACGTAGAGCTTTTAGTCATATCGACGCTAAAACGCTTTTGACTTTGTATAGTGTTCGTACGCCCTAAACTTGAGTACTGCATACAAGCGGCTAGCTCCTGCTTAAAAAAAGACAGTGAGCTTCTGGAAAGGGTTCAAAGAACGGCGACTAAGCTGATTCCCGGAATAGTGAAGCTTCCGTACGAAGTTCGACTGGTCAAGCTGACCCTTTTCCCGTTGTCATATCGCAGAACTAGAGGCGACTTGATTACAGTCTTCAAATTGCTTAGTGATAAATTTGCACCTAACATGTCCTCATTTTTCTTGTCTTCCAAAACAGAGAATTTACGAGGACACTCCAAAAAAGTTCACAAACCCAGAACAAATTACTTCAGCTGACTATCGACTTTCCCATCGAATCATCGTGTGGAATTCATTACCTCAGCACGTGGTTGAGGCTCTATCCGTCGACTCTTTCGAAAGAAAGTCGGGTCAACTGAGAGACTTATATTGCCAGGACTAACACAGGCCATCAAGCCTCTTTTCCTTTCCAAACTGAAACTCTACAGGTTGGAATATTTCCAAACAAATACAGAGGTTGATATTAAGAACTAAAATTAAAGCACGAACTATCACTTTGAATCTGCTGAAAGAACATACACATATCCCAGTACTATGACACTACAACGAACAGCAAGTTATAACATGAAATCCAATCATTTTTCATATAAACTTTAAACAACAAAGTTGGGCTTCAGAAGAGACTGAAAGGATCTCGACGAATTTTGGGGGAACATGAGGTCTAAACTGGTTTTCTTTAATTCATGGAGAAGGATATTTTTTGTCTCAATTTATAAGTCATTAAAAAAGTAGTGAGACATGATTACCTTAGGCCTGGTACGAATAAATGACTCTTATTTAACTCAAAGATATATCTTCGAGTGGAAAATGTTTTGGAGAAGTGTAAAAGCAGAACTTAAAAACAAGACACTCACGCCTCTGATTTTCCAGTAACCGAGCTTAGGAGCCATGATCAACGGATGAGTACAACTTCAAATGAGTTTCATGACATATATATTCAATTTGTTTTACTAATCGTAAGAATTATCTGATTAACATCCAATATCATTGTGCATGGTCAGTACAGAAAAGTTGACTTCGTAGAACTAGCTCGTTGAAGTCAATTTGCATCTCATATATTTTTTGTTCAAGTTACGTTTATCAAAACCTCCGGCTTCAGGGGTGCTAGTCAGCTGTCATATTACGTTTTACTTCCCCGTTGTGGACATAGACTAATGGCCAAAAATTGCTAATCAACTCTGTCTTGGGAAGTCCTTTCAAGTTGTTTTCACTTCCTATTCATCCTATCCATATCTGCTTCCAGTTCTCTACTCGGTATGTTCTTTGGCCTTCCTCTTTTCGGTTTTCCTTTCGGGATCCCAGGCTAGGGCTTACCTAATGATACAGTTTGGTGATATCTGCATTGTATGGTCTGTCCACTTCTTTTCCTGATTTCCAGTTCAGCTGGAAGTTGGTTTATCCTCTCCCACAGTAGGCTGTTGCCGATGGTATCTGACCAACAGATATTGAGTAACTCGCGTAAACAATTGTTTATAAATACCTGTGTACTTTTGATGGCAGTTACAGTAGTTCTCCACTTTTCATCTCTGTGCAATGGAACTGTCTTGACGCTTGTTTTGAAGATTCTGAATTTGATATTGGTTGACAATCTTTTTGAGTTTCGTATGTTCGTCAAGTGTAGGAATGCAGTCCTTACTTTACTAACCCTTGCTTTTATGCCCGAATCAGATCCTCCGTGTTTATCGATGATGATGTTCAGGTACGTAAAAATGTCCACCCCTTTCAGAGCTTCCTTATCATGATCTTGCTTGTTTCTTTGTGTATGTTAAGGCCCATGGGCCTTAACAGTGCACTGTCACAGAATTTGATGCTACACTGGCTGCCTTCACCTGCATTTGTTGGTGTTTATGCGATGGAAGAGCTAGGTCACCTGCTAAGCCCAAATCGTCTAGTTGTATCCAACCTGTCTATTGTATTCCGTGCTTCTTCTGAGACGTGGCCTTCATAATCCGATCGACGACAGTAAAATGCCTTTGTATGAGACCGGTTTTTACATGCAATGTAACCGTCAGCCGACCTCTATTCACGACTAACGGTGTAGTCCGTCGTATGAGTTCCATATGATGTTGAAGATCTTGTCAGGTACACCACGGGGTCAAGGCAGGGTCTCTGAGGTTTTCCTATCCACGCTGTCGAATGCTTTCTTATGGTTAAGGAAGTTGATGTATAGTGGTGAGTTCCACTCGAATGATTATTCAACAATGATCCTTGGAGTTGAGAATTTTTGTACACGACCTTTTCTTACTAAATCTGGTCTGATGATCTCAAAGTTCGGAGTCTACTGAATCTTTCATTCGATTTAATAACAATCTATTGAAAACTTTTCCTGGTACTGATGTTAGTGTGGTACTTCTGTAGTTTTTACACTTGCTGAGATTGCCTTTCTTTGGTATCTTGGTCAAGTGTCCTTTTCAGTCTGTTGACGCTTGTTCTTCCACTTAAATCTTCCCGAGTAAAACTTAAAGCATCTACGTCTGACTTCAATGCTTCAGGTGGTACGTTGTCTGGTCCAGCTGTTTTCCCACACTTGATTTGTCGGGTATGCACGCTGATTTCTTCTATTATTGCTGGAACGGTATATATTGGAAGGTGTGAGTGTGTTGCTTTGACATCCGGCATGTTCAGTGGTGCTGGCCTTGCTGTTATTTCTTTCTTGAATCTTGATCAATGTTTCGATAGAGATCCATTTTTTATTATGGTGTTTCTTCCTGCAGTGCACTTCCTGGTATGTCCCGTCACCAAACAACGAATTCAATATTCCAGAAACTTGCGATTCTTGGATTTGTACTGAATAAGCCAAGCTACAAAACGTTAACAGAATCATACACCATGGAATTGGTTGCAATACATCATGTTGAGTGTGGTTCCTTTTGAGTATATACTTCTTGTCGCGGTCGGCTTTCCATATTTTAAATCTACCGGATAGTCCGAATTCCGAAAATGATCCAGGAGAGTTTTGCTATTTTTCTAGATGATCTACCATGTTTCTGATGTTTCTTGACATGTACATATTTTGACATGGATCAGCCATATATATTTCACATGAACCACTCTCAAAGCCGTGTTTGGTATAATATACATTCAATAGCTTCAAATGATGGCACACTACTATGAGAAATTCAGCTGTTTTCAGGAGAACCATATTAGGCACTTCATTAATTTGGCACATCCTAGTTTTTATGTATGTTACTAGGCTAACTACTGTTATCTCCTATAAAGAGTTTATATTAAACCGGTTACCTTTCTAACTGTAGTTCCTTGAGCCATGTCTAACCTTTCCAGTTTTCTTGGTCAGGTCTTTTTTAGTTTCTATTTTCCTCGTAGATGTGTAACAGCTTAGGTTGGTGTACATATTAATCTAACGTATACATGCGTAGTATTATATTGTCTCTATGCTATTCGAATTTAGCAATTATTTGAACTACCCTGAACATTATACACTGAACCCATCATATTCGCTGTTGCTACACATATTTGTTTATAAACCGTGCTATCATATTAGTTGTAGAGTCAGTGTTTTCTAACAGGATGTGAAACATAAAGTTAGTATATAGGACATAGCTGCAATCCAACCAACACCTCAAAAGAGATCAACATCAAAATAGGACGGAGGGCGACGTTGTAACAGCTCAGGTTATGAGGTCAAGAGTCGGCCGAAAAAATCTTGCTAACTTCAATACCTTACACCTCAAGTGTTTATTTACTTCAGTATTTTGCGTAGGTACTATATTTCTGATTCGTTGTAGTGAAAGTGATACTTAATTTTGACTCTTCCATTGTCGAAACCGAACGCTGGTGTGAGACTATAGATAACAAACCGTCTGTCTTTATCAGACGGTCAAGGAATCTAGAGGATTTCTCAGGGAGAAATAGTAGGTGATAGGTCACCATCAAAACTTTTAAGGCACCTCTAAGTCTTAGTGGGCGATAACACAGTGGGTCAACGGTCCCAAAACGAGGATGGATACAAGCTCTCCCATGCCACGTTCAACAGTGTTTGAATGTTCAAGACCCGGACATCTCTTAATCCCACATAGCGCGTATTGTAAATAACAATTTGTTCTCAAATAACAGTTTGTTACATGAAGCATGCCAGTTTACAGGTAAGATCAAGCTAACACAAAAGATGCAATTTTCACTGCAGTGAATTACTCAGTTGGGATGATATTCTATGAGATATGAATGTAGGTGGTTTTAGTAAAACTCGTATTGTCAACATCACAGTTGGCGGGCTATATAAAGATTGCGTTGCGACGGGCGGCTGATGATCGGGAAAAGATCTATGTGAGGCTGAGGGCTTTTAGAAACCGCAACTTTATATTCCTTCAGAATATCTGAGGCTTTAGGGAAGGTGCAGGACGAAGCCAACTGTTCCAGGACTGACAAATTGTAAGAGTAAATGACGAGTAATCTCAAAAGCATGAAGCCTATTTATGTAGAATGTCAGACGGAAAACTTTCTTCGGTAACAGTAAAACGTGAGAAGACCAAGAGAGACCAGAGGAAAAGGTAACACCAAGATAACTGACCTTCAACACTGTGTTTATCAAAGAGCTTCCAACAGCACAAGCATTATGAGATCCCAAAGTGGTGTTTAGATGCCGTTCATGTCTCATGCTAAAGTTAACAGCTCGACATTTAGATGGATTAAGTATGGGACCATTAACAACAGACCAACAATCAATACGAGACAAAAACTCATTCATTTCTACGGGATGTAAAGAGGTAGAAATCAGCATACAGTACGATCACCCACATATTTCACAATAGTGTTTTCTGTGAAAGATGACAGGTCATGTAGAAAAAAGAAGAGGTAAAAGAATGGCTCCTTATGGTGCACCTTTATGAGACAGTAGAGAGTCCGAACACTTTCCTCCAAAAACAGTGTACTGTTCCCTTCAGAAAGGTAGGATCATAGCCAGTTGGTTACCCAGCTGTCAGTGTTGACGCTGATTAACTTGTTAAGTAAACGTTGTCTTGGCATAGAACCAAAGGTGGAAGGAACAATCAAGTCTGAGACTACCAACTGATATCTTGAAAGCGGAATATTTACCATATAGTTCTCGGACTTTACAAAGCCACTCTGTGGTTTTGTATTCAAATACATTTGTTTGTGCCCTCCCGTGTCCTCGTTCACTACACCACGATAATAGTAGACCTAATCCCAAAATTGTAAATACGACGTGTGACTACCTAATCTACAAGAACTTAATTAAAAGTCACATAATTTTATACTCTGAATCGTCCTACCGTGACAATCGGCAATATTATTATCTCTTGTTAGAGTGAAATGAAGTCAGAGTCTCCATATAAGTGAATGTAGTAATAAAAAACGATGAGTTGTGATGTTCAACAAGTTGAAGTAAGCTCACATGAAGGACCGGAAGTCAAGATTAGTACAAGGGAAGCGGTTTATTAGAAGAGAGTTTGCATATTGAGGGTGAAGTGTTAAGAATGCTGAGTGACTGTATCTTTTATTGTTTAACTGTTTGTCCATCCGATGCCAGCCACACAATCCTAGTGTAAAAGTCCGAGTTAGCATGTTATAGGTTGTCTTAGTATAATAGCTAATCCAACATAAAATTGGAAACATGAGTCTGAGTGGTGAGAATAAAAAGACAATCTACATCACAGATCGATTGAATCGTTCTCAACCATAAAGAGCTTAATAAAAACAAAATGTCCTGCCCCACAAACATGAATGGATTTAAGTCATAGCCCTCATCATCAATGCTTGCTGGTCAGTAACCCCACCCTCCCTCCTTTTGTGATGTTAGGCTCATTTAAGCTTATTTTTTGGATATATATCACACCTTACACAATGTTCTGTGTTTCACATCCTGTTGCAAAACACTATTTCCATAAGTACCATTTTACAAGCTTATCAGGCA